CCCCCCCCCCCCCCCACAAATCCAGTACCTGCGAGCCCATGGCAGGAAATCACTTCCTCCATTGGGATTCCGCCACGTCCGTAAAATCAACTATCTTTCCGCATAGGAGACGTATCGAACGTCTGAGATATTTTGTTGCTTTTCATCCTTAGAAACCCGTACAATTTTCTCAGCTCTTTTCCGGTCTGAGTGTTTTCGCTGCACAATACGCCGCCTGATTCGACGGATTCGGCGACGGACTTCCTCGACCCGCAGTCGCTCAGTCGCCGTCCGATGCTGCTGATTCTCCGTCGCTCCACGTCGGTCTGCAACGCCGTGATGACCGATTTTATCGCACGGCTAGGCGAGTTTCGGTTCGTGATCATCAGCTCGCTGATCTCGGCCGGGCTTAAACTGGCGCCGTTTTGGAATATTTCTTCAACCTGAGGGAACAATTTGTGATCCTTCACGCCTAGGTAGTTGTTTGCGAGATTCTTGAAAGCAGAGAAATCGCAGAGTGGAAAATGGATGTGAACATCGATACGGCCAGGTCGGAGAACCGCCGGGTCAACCAGGTCTTTGCAATTGACGGTGAAAACCATCACTCTCTCCTCCGCGCAGCACGATGTTAATATTCCATCCATGAAGTTCAGTAGCGCCGACAGGCTCAACGTCGACGATTTGTCCATCAGAAACCGATCAAGATCCTCGACGACGATTATCGACTTGGTCGTGGTCTGTAGCAGAAGAAGCTTGAGATCAGAATCATCGGAGACTTTGAAGAGGTCGATATCGTAGACATTGTAGGAGAGGAAATTCGCCATAGCGGCGACGAAGCTAGATTTTCCGGTTCCGGAAGGGCCGTATAGAAGGTAACTTCGTTTCCAAACTCTGCCTAATCTGTGGTAATATTGTTTGGATTTGAGAAACGATTCGAGATCGGATTTGACCCTTTCTTTGAGATCTGTTTCCATGGAAATCGAATCGAAAGTGGATGGATGTTTGAATTGAATCGATTTCCATCTTGTATCCGACTGATTATTAGGTTTTGAATTCATAAAAAGCTTCAAATCCCCTTTCCTCTGCTCAATCACATCGGCAGTTAGGGTATGAATGTGCTGAAGATAAGGGCGGAGGATTCGGCGCTTATCAGCCTTTCGAATCCTCAACACAAAATTTCTGGAACCATTTTCTTCATTGGTCCAAAGCAGTTTTGCCCCCAAAAAATTGTCCTGAACCGTCTGATTGGAATCCAGGCGGAGAATAATGTCATTGGGGGCGTTTCCGGTGATGAGATTGGTGAAGTCGGAATCCTCCAGGGACGATAAAGACGTAAGATAAGCAGAGACTTTTCGATATAGGTGATTCTGTTGAGAACTTTGATTGAATTCCGGGATTCTGAAAGACTGGTAAACATGGAAACAATCTTCTAGGTTTCTCCACCGTTTCTTGACCACGAAAACGAATCCGGTCCTGAATAAAACAATCCGCAACAACCAACAGAAACAAATTCCGATGAAGATTACAAAAAACGACCTGAAAAACAACTCCATGGCGCCTCCTCAGCCACACCCAATGGTAAAGGAAAGACAAAAACACACAATCCCTAGAAGATCAAACCCAGAGTAGAAGACACAACATATTTAGAAGAATCAATAAGAAACCCAACAAGGGTAGAAGGCCCAGGTTTAACGGGGGCCAAAACCCAGGTTACAGAGAGAGGGAAAGGGTCAAGCAGGAGGAGATATATATATAGATATACATATATATATATCTATATCTATATATAGTTTTTTAGATGGAAGAAGAAAAAAAAAACGAAAAAGAATTGGAGAAAGAGAGAGGCATGATGATGATGATGAGGAGGAGGAGGAGGAGGAGGAGGAGGAGGAAGAAGATGAATTGCGGGTTTTGGGTTGTGTTCTTGCTTTGGGTATTCGGCCTCTAAATTCAACCCCAGTCCATCGCATTCCCCTGCCAATTACCTCTCTTCACCTTTTATATATCTTTTTTAATCCCTCAATTAACTCTCTAAGTTGCTTTTAAATTTTAAAATCTTCCCAACTTTCCCTTCAATTTTATTTTATATTTAACAGATCAATTTCAGATATAAAATTAAATTAAGACTCTAAGTTGTAATTAAGCCCACATGAAGGAACCAAGTTGGTAATTAACCCCAACAAATAAATAAATAAAAATTTGTTTATATGGTTGTTGTTTAGGAGCATGGCTTAATGATGAGTCCTTTTATTTGGTATAATCAAAATTTTGGGTATGAGATGATATGATTACTCGGGACCATAACTAAAACTCTATAAACAAATGGATGGGAAGCAACTTTATTTATTTGTTTATTTATTAATTTTCAATTATGGTGGCTGCCAATCACTCACACCAACATAGAATCAATCTTATTTTAAAATCATTTCAAACTAATTATTTTCCTTTTTTTTTTTTTTGGTTAATTTAAATATTAATTATAGTTTTTAATATTTACAGAGTAAGTTTCATTGTAATTTAGCAATTAAAACATCAATTGTTTTGAATATTGATTCGAATATTCATAACTAAAATGTTTAGCTTTATCATGTATTATTATTATTATGCCACATATGTTTCTTTCTTTCTTTTTTCTTTTTTTTTTTTTGACTTACAAGTCACATGAATTACTATTTAATTTTTTTCTCCTTTAAAAGGTTTTCGAATCCACCAAAAAAAATCACTTTATTTCTTTTTCTTTTTTAAAAGCTTCTCCATGTCTACCTAAGAGGGGAGGTTAAAGAAAAAAATTATTATTTCTATGATAAAAATTATTTTAGCTATTTTAAAATCATTTTCAAATAAGTTTTTAATTGGAAGATTATATTCCCCAAAACTTAAAAGAATTACCATCAATTTTGGGTGGTACTATTACGTGTTCGTTTGGATTATATTAATAAGACCATTATTTGATTTTAACGAGACTTAATTAGAAAGAAATAAAAAAGTTTGTGGGTGGAAACTTAGGTATAGTTTGGATTAAATCAATAAATTTGTGCTAATCTCTAAACCCTTTATTACTTCTGAATTATATGAATATTTGTGTCACTTTCTCATGTGGTATATTTGTTTTTGGTAACCTTTTAATGTTAGCTTAGTAATAATTAGTGTGGAATAGCCAAAGTAATTATGATGTAATTGTTAAAGTTTTAGAAAACTGGAAATAAAAAGGATTAAAGGCATAATTGAGTGATTAAAATATTAAACCAAGTTAATCGAAACAGCGTGTCGTTCACTCGTATGCTTGTTTGGAAGGTTCGGAATTGGGCCCAGTTGTGGCATGTGGGAGAATTTGAACCCTTCATTTCATTTGCGTCAGCAACTGAATCAATCCTTATAACTTTACTTTGTAGGCGCGGCAAAGCAAAAGTAGCCATGTCAATACAAATCCCATCGCTTCGCTTATCCTTTTGTTTCTTCTCCACTCTTCTTCGCCCATCGCCTCTCTCTCTCTCTCTCTCTCTCTCTCTCTCTCTCTGTTTCCTTTCAGCCACAACAATCTGAGCATGGCCATTACTCTCAGCCTTCCAAAACTCCCCATTATCGCTCCCATTGCTTCCTCCAAGCTTCCACTTCCCTCCATTCCAACCAAATTGCACTTCTCTCAAAACCCCAAATCTCCGCGCACTTTCTTCATTCAGAGTGTTTGTAATCTCAAACCCTATACCCTTCCCCTTACCGCTCTCACATTGCCATTCTTCCTTCATCCACAGGTTGGTTTCTATCTCTTCTTCCGGTTTTAGTATGTGGGATTCTCGGGTTCGATTCGTTTTGATTGGTTTCAGGATGCACTTGCTGCTGGAGGGGAGTTTGGGATTTTGGAGGGAAGGTCAATTGCCCTCATCCACCCTGTTGTTATGGGTGGTCTTTTTGTCTGGACACTCTGGGCTGGCTATTTGGGCTGGCAATGGCGGCGAGTCAGGACGATTCAGAATGAAATTAATGAGCTCAAGAAGCAAGTGGTGCCTGCGGCAGTAGCCCCAGATGGGAAGCCTGTTGAGGCACCTCCATCTCCCACGGAATTGAAGATTCAGCAGCTCACAGAGGTATGTCCGAACCTAACTAACTATCTATTGCTAGACCCAAAATCTCAATTATGGGTGAGTCTGGATTGTGTTTGTGACGAATATGGGTAGGATTAAGGGAATGGAGACCTAAGAAGGAGAAGAAAAGAAGGAATAGAAAAGGCATAATCCTTATTCCTTTCAATGTAGACATAGCGATTCTTAGCATGCCAATAACTAGATTTCTATTAGTATCCCTAGAGGAAAATAAGTGGGATCAGAGCCATGTTCTAAACTCTAATGGGCAAATGGGCATGGATAGACAATACTGATATACTTGAACACTGCGCCATGTTAATTTCTAAAAAAAATGCGACATAACGAGGACACAACTTTTTAATATATATACCTATGTAGGATGTATGTGTTGAAACGTCTAGTACTTCATATGCAAATTTAATAAGCCACAACCCATTTAAGAGAAAATAGCATTGCTCAATTGGTCAAGTTATTTATCTCCTCAAACAGACCAAACTTTCAAATTCTTGCACCTGCATTTGAACTAAAAAATTTGGTTACCATTAACAAAATCAAATCAATACGCTAATCTGTATCATAAAAAATAATGTTATGTGTTAGACGAACACGACTCTCCACAATAGTATGATATTGTCCACTTTGAGTGGAAGCTCTCATGACTTTGATTTGGGCTTTCCCAAAAGGCCTCGTACCAATGGAGAGAGTATTCTTTGTTTATAAACCCATGATCATTCCCTAAATTGGCCGATGTTGGACTTTCATCATCTAACATTATGATCGTTACATAATACAAGTGATACTTAGTTTTTAATGAGATTTTTCAGGATAGGGATTAAGTTATTACAAATTTAAAAGTATAAGTCAAAGTCGAAGGACTAAATCACTATAAGTTTAAAAGTACATGGTCCGAATTATTTGATAATGTCATCTATATTTGAGTTTTATTCAACTATACATTCATTCTACAAGAGTAAATAAGTCAACTCAAATAAAAGTAAACTCTTGAAGTGGTAGAGGTTAGATGGATAGTGATTGTTTATAGAAAATTTGTTTATTTCTTTTGTTATTATTTAACTTGTGTTTATTGTTGAAAGTGCAACTATATAAGTGGTGAAGAATTGTAAGCCCACCAGTAGCGATATTGTCCTCTTTGAGCTTTCTCTCAAGGTTTTAAAACGCATCTGCTAGGAAGAGGTTTCCACACCCTTATAAAAAATGTTTCGTTTCCCTTTCCAATTGATGTGGGATCTCACAATCCATTCTCGGTCAGTGCCCATCGTCCTTGCTAGCACGCGTTCCTCTCTCTCCAATCGACGTGGGATCTCATATGTGGTTAACTCTATTTGGAAGATTGTTTGGAGGAATACTAGGAGGTGGTCCAATGGTGTAAAAAAGAAATAGAGATCATAGGTATATAATTTTGTGGTAGAATCTGAATCTGAAGAGTTGACTTATTTGATTGATTCTTATATCTAAGAATAGAACAGATTCCTTAGATTCTGGTAATTCCATAATCAAAATAGAATGGATTAGTCCATCTACTGAATGCTTACCCAACATATCTGATACCATTGGTGTTTGAACTTCAGGAGAGGAAAGAGCTGATCAAAGGGTCCTTCAGAGATAGACACTTCAATGCTGGTTCCATAATATTAGGATTCGGAGTTTTGGAAGCAATTGGTGGAGGCTTAAATACATGGCTTAGAACAGGAAAGCTTTTTCCAGGCCCTCATTTGTTTGCAGGAGCAGGTAAAGCAAAAGCTTTTGCATCTGAAGCCTTTCTTTTACAAGTTTACGTATCATATGAATGTACTCTACTGACATTGCATTGCATTCCATCCAGATGCTTCTACTTTGGTACTTTAGTTTGGTTTCAACTCTTGATATCGTTGCCACCCGAATTTGAAATGAGATATTGTCTGTTTCTCTATGTAGTTGTTGTGATCTGATATGCATTTTGCGTTTATTTTGTTGGTAATGTAATGAGCAGGGATAACTGTTCTGTGGGCACTGGCAGCTGCTCTTGTACCTGCAATGCAGAAGGGAAATGAGACAGCCAGAAATCTCCACATTGCGCTGAATGCATTAACTCTCGTACTCTTTGTATGGCAGATCCCCACTGGAATTGACATTGTCCTCAAAGTCTTTGAATTCACTACCTGGCCTTAATTTACTGTTAGTTCTATGTAAACTTCCTTCCCTTTTCCTCATCATTTCTTTCCACTTTCCCATCTCCCAGTTCTTGCGTACTGCAAATATTCTTAACCATCTCTTGGTATAGCCCTAGACACCCTCAACCCTGCTCTCCATTGCCTCAATCCAACTACTATCATACACAAGAACGTGGTGTCTGGCGAGCACAAGCATCGCCTTCCTCCCTCTCACTTGTATCAGATTCAGAAGTAAGTGTGTCCAATAGAATCTATCTCCTTTATTTCTTCATTGTTTGCATATTGGAGTCCTAATAATTATATTGTTAACTTTTGAAAAATAATTATATTGTTTTTTGTTTTTAATTTTATGGCAAATAATCATGCAAAAATACATCAGATTCCTTATATTTTTTCCTCAACATTTTATTCTCTTCCTTTGAGATAAAGAAATGAAAATACTTGATGACGGTTCGTATAATACGTCTTTTTCTTTAAGGAGAAATTATGTTATATTCTATTGAAATCTAAAAAAATGACACATCTAGATAGTAATTCTATGTGGGGAACTAAACGGAAAGTATAATTGTACGAACAAATGTATATTGGTTGGTAAGGATAGTTTTTAAAGAAATAAATAAATAATATTAAGTTAATAATATAAAGGCTAAATAGTTGGGAAAAAAAAAGTTTTTTTGTTTTGTTTTTTTTTTTTTTGTTTTGGTGTATAAAAAAACATGTGTTGATCACAATATTTGGATTGCTTGAATTGGTGAGAAGAATGAAAGACCCAAATTATTATTCGTTGCTTTTGGTGTGATCTTTGTTACCCCTTCTTCGTGTTCTGTTGTTCATCGTTTTCCCTATAAATACCCACAAAACTCAAACCCCTTTGACCATCTCTTTCATCCTTTTTAAAATTTTTATTTATATATTATTATTATTATGGCAAATCTTCCTCGTTTTGGCCGTTCATGGCCACGCCTCTCATCTTTACCTCGCCCTGGCAGTGCCTCACGATCTGAAGTTCGAGCGTCGACGGCGCTCACAGAGCTAGAAGCCTTTTCCTCTGCTCCCACCACCACTGATATTCTTCGAACTTCTCTGCCGCCGCCGCCTTCGTCTCCTAAATATAGCGGCAAGCCAGCATCTCCTCGGAGTGAGAGCGTCTCCGGCAAGAGCCAGCAGAAGCAGCTTCAAAGTGACGACATAAACATGGAAGGGGAGAACGTGGGCGCCGTCATGCACATCACTCAATCATCCGATGCCCTACAAATCCAGAAGAAAAAGCAGAGAAAGGAAAGCGAAGAGAAAGAGGAGAAATGGAGTTGGAATTTGTACAGTTCGTGGGCGCCGTTCATCAACACCAATTTTCAAAGTGTCAACAATTCCCTTATGTACAGTTCGTCTTTAACCCACCGTGATCCAGGCCTGCACCTTGCTTTCTCCAACACCCCCAACCATGGCGATCCTCTTCATGATTCAACCCACTAAATCAAGCTGATGATTATGCTAAAATATAATTATAAATATAATAAGCAAACAATATAATAATAATTGCACCATCCTATTATCAGACATATATATATCATTGTAATTGGCTTACATTGATTTCATGCATCCATTTGCTTAATAAACATTACTTATTGTTATCAGTCTCATGGTTTTAAAATACGCATACTAGAGAGAGGGTTTTACACCATTATAAAATGTAAATAAATATCGAAAACACCTTCTCATTCTCATCTCTACTCAAATTTTTATTTATTTTTATGGAAACGAGACAGAGATTGAAACATAGACCATAAAATTTTCATTTTTTTTTTTTCTGTTTTAACATAAAATAAGAACATAATCCATCTTATTCTGATGAGATAATAAGACGATGATATATGTATATAGATATTTGTATTTTGTTTTTTCTAGAGTATTGCGTGGTGTTGCTTGTTGTGATGAAGAGTGAACCGGTGGCCGGTCCGGTTCCGGGAGAAAGCGAGGTGCAGACCGGGGTCACGGTGAGCCAAAGATGCATCGAAAACAAGGGAATTGTTTACGCTTTGAAAATTGTTGTTCAGAAAAGTGGTTGTGGGCAGTGATGAGGGCTTGTGGTGTTTAGAAGCGTCCTTGTCTTGATGATTGACAGTGTCGTCGACGTTTCTCACTACATCCTTGTCTTCCCCTTTTGAGGAGTCCACGATTTCCATCACCGCCCCGACATTTTCTCCCGCGATGTTTATTGCATTTGGCTGCTGCGCGTTCTGGGTGTTGCCCTTGTGGACCATCGCCTTCTGTTTGGGCTCGGGTGACCTGAGTTCAAAATATGAACAAGTTTAAGATTTTTGTAAGTAATGGGCATATATTAGAAAAGGGTTAGTGGTGGAACATAATACTTGGGGTGTTTGTGTACGGGGTTGGGGGGTGAGGCGATGAGATGAGAAGACGGTGGAGAAGCAGGACGGGGCTCAGTAGGTCGGGGTTCCGTTGAAGGATAGCGTGGGGCGGGGGCAGGGGCAGTGGGGCGGTTGACAGAAGAGAAACGGTATAAGGAAGGACCAAAGCGAGAGGCCATAATGAATGGGGGAAGATATTATATGGGAAAATGGATAATGAGATTGGAGTGTTGAGTTTAGGGTAATTTATATTGAGAGCCCAAGACAACATTTAGGAGAAGAGAGACAGATTTAGAAGGAAAGTATCAGATTCAAAACTCACGTATGCTCTACAAAAGCCCTTTTATATTAATTCCCATTTTTGGCCAATAATCCTTAACCCAATAATCCTTAACCCAATAATCCTTAACCCACCACCCTAGGTCAACCTGTGAAAATTAATTATTTAAGAAATTATCTCCCTCAAAATATTAATAAGTTTGTGAATGGCATACTTGGAAATGTAACTAATTTTTATTTATTAAATTTCATATAGGGTAAGTTTTCATTAAAGTGGTGAAACGGCAACTAAGCATAAAACCATTCAATGAATTGTCAAGTATACGTTACAAATAATATACTAAATATGTATTTTGATCCCTAATCTTTCGATATTTTATAATTTGGTCCTTACTTTTTTTTTTTTTTTTTTTTTTTTTTTTTTTTTTTTTTTTTTTTTTTTTTTTTTTTTTTTTT